TCCGAGTGTACAGAACGTGAACATTTTCTTACTTCTTATATCTCTCTTACATATATTTTGTTTTCGTATTGTAAATAAAAATGCAAACTGTTACATATATTTTGAATCATTAAAAAAGATAAATAGAAACTAAAAAATGCATTTTTTTTCAATGTAGTTTTACCTTGCATTAATGTCTTTGGAGAAAGTTATTCAACTAAAACAATATAATAATAATAAAAGTGTGAGTATGGTATACCGTAAACCCGTCGTTTCGAAGACCAAAGTCATCTTGACGGTGTTGACGATTTTCGTCATCTCGGTATCGATAATCGTCGCCGTCACCGTATGGTCCGTACAGTTCGGAGGTGCAGATTCGATCGAACCCAGCAGGAACGCGTCGTCGATCGCAAATGCGACCGCGGGTTCTGTCGGATGACGTTCGTGGCTCTGTTGATCGCTACGACTGTGACGTTGCTCGCGCTCTTGGTGCGAAGGCCGAAAGATAGGTGCGACGCCCACCTGTGCGGCGGCGGCGGACGTGGACGATTGGAGCAAGACGGCGCGTCCAAGTACTGCGTGTGCGACGACGGATTCGCGGGGCCGGTGTGCGAAAGGAAGATTGCGTCGCACAAAGAACCTTTCGACTGTTCCGGCTGCGAACGAAACGGCGGTAGGTGCGTCTACTCGGATGCCAAGAACGGTCAGCACTGCGTCTGTCCCGTCGACCGTTACGGTGCAGTCTGCGAGCACCCCTACGCCGGACTGTCGGAAGCGATGTTAGCGTTCGCGGACGCCTGTCTGTGAAACGATCGGCATGAGTCTGAAGCTAGCCCTGCTGGAAACCGCGTTTAGGTGGCTGCCGATAATACCGTACTTTTGGATTTCCATCGTGACGGCGGTAGCCTGTTATCTTCTCAGCCACCTCATAGTCGCCGCTAGGGTCGTAGTCGCCGGAATATGCAAGACGCTGTACGAAATTACGAAGTTCGTAGAACCTCTCGTCCTCAATCACGGTAGGAAGAAGAATTTGCGTGAGACCATGTACAAGTTTCAATCCCTGTGGCATACGGTCGACGGTTGTGAGGGATTCGAAACATGGTATCACGTCGTAGGTTACGGCTTTCACCGACTCATCGGAAACGTGTTCTGCGACCGTTCCCGATGGTATCGCTCGATCACGTTCACGCGGTACGTCGTCTACTATCCGATCAAGTACCTGGTCTTGCAACCGATTCACGGCGACTGCTCACCGACGTACGAGGACGACGTCTGCTTCGGTTTCCACCTCGACCTCGTGTTCGACTTCGTCAGAAAGCACCTCATCTTGGCGATCGTCGTCCTGCTCAACTGCTGGCCGCTCATCTCGTACGGACTGTCGGTCTCCCGGCGAGCCTTGAAG